ATTGCATAAGTCCTCCGCCGTAGTTTCGGGATGAATGTTCCCCAAATACACCGTTCTATTCATTCCCTGCATGCCCATTCCAGCAGCACCGGCAGCACCGAGGTTCATACCATCGGGAGTAAACGCAGCGTAAGGCGAGAATGGGCCACCGAATGCACTGTGCCCAAATGGGTTTGCCCCGGCACCGGAAGTGAGCGCAGCAGATTGCGCCACAAGCGATTGAGCTGCGGCAGCCTGTGCGGCTTGTGCTGCGGCCTGCTGAGATTTGGGAACGTAAGCGCAGCGGTCCTTGCCATAATTAATGCGCTTGCCCGCCCAAGCAGGTTCGGTTGGAAGGGTATTGACAACCTACCACGACTGCATGAGCAACCTTGTCCACGAAGGTGATGTTATTCCCACGCACCTTGGTAGCAATAGCGATGCTCAAAAAATGAACAAAGCCAATGTTCTTGTCTCGGACAATCTTGACTTGATCGATGAGACCAAACCGGCTCAAGTCATCTCTGAGTTGTTCTTCCGTCATGTTCTCGTCCAAGCCACCAAGATAAACGTTCCTGCTCGCATTGCTCTGCTGGATTGCAAGCTGGACCTGAGCGCTAACGGGGGACGGCTTTCCCCAACCAATTTTGAGCTCTTGTCCGTGAAGAGAGAGTTTCTTGATCGTTGCATCCGCGTGGAAGGCTGCAGCAGTAGCAGCATCGAGGAAAGAAAGGAATACACAAGACTTTTCTGGCAGAACACGAATGGACTCGAGTGGTCCAAAGTGTACCAGATTTAAGAGTTCATCCACAGAGGCCGTCGCAGGCAAGTTTCCGACGTATACAGTTCGTCCAATGAGAGCGTTAGGGGCGCCCGAGAGAGCAGCAGAGAGAGCGGCGGGCGAGTAAGCCCCAGGTGTCTGTGGGATGCTCACGTTAAGGGACGGAAGACGTGGCTGCTGGGAGAAGGCCTTCGAAGACTTTCAAACCTGATTCCTGTCGCACTTGGGGTGTACACTCACCTGTCCGAAATTTCCTGAATGGCTCGAATATCCGAAACCGCCCAACATCCCAACACTAGGCAAGCCCATGCCTAGCATCCCATATCCAAATTGACCCCCTTGACCCTGACCACCTCCCTGCTGCTGTTGTTGCTGCTGGGCGAAACCACTGCTGGTCATCGGGTGTGGGCTCATCTGCACCTGACCATGTCCGTTTATACCCACTCCCGTGTTGATAGTCAGGGAAGGCGTGGAGTACAATGCGTTAGATGTAAAGGACGGCGAGCCGGCAGGCTGATAACCGGGTTGATTGATAGAGGCTTGGGGGCCATATCCATAGTTGATAAACGGGTCACGGGTGGAAGCACTGCTGGAATTAGTGGTACCGCCTGTAGCTGTCGAAGAGAGACCACCGGTTGTCCCAGTAGTTCCAGTATACGAGGGTGGTGACCAGCGGGCTTTTTTGGCATCAGGACCTCCAACTGTATCCATAGACCTCTGTACGGGTTGGTTTTTGTGAGTCATTACAGCGGGAGCGAAGACGACCCAACCGACCTTCATCATGTCGAGATCAAAGCCGTAAGAAGGGTAGTGAGTAGCGAAAGCTGTCTGAGTGTCGTCCATCGATGCGAATGGAGAGCAATAGGGTCCAAACGAGTGTGTGGTCGGAAGAGGAATGAAGGAAAGTGAATTGGCAACGGCGGAAACGTCGTTGGAGAAAGTTCAACGAATAATGATGATGGATAGTTAAACCACAGGGCAAAAAAAAAAAGGGTAAATGTTAGAGAAGGAACGAACCCAAATGACAGGTGGGGTAGAGAACGTGTGTGATATGGACGGATGTGCAAAGTGTAATCGAGCGTGCAAAAAGGGCGTTTTTTCGACGATCTCTTTGCAACGCTGTGTCTGATGTTTCAAACGAGTGTGGTTGGTGGTGATGGGGAAAGAAAAGAACGTAGAAAAGAGAAAGAAAGAAAGAAAAAAGCACGCACAACAAATGGGTAGAGTAGGGGGGTACGAGGAGAAGTGGTTCTGTTGTGCCGTATAGATAAAACTTTTTGTATAAACGACAAGGACAAGACCACGACGAGATCAAGACCGACGCCCTGTCAGACACAAAATGAAACTTGATACGGCGAGCTCGACAGCGACACCTACGTTAATATGCTTGACGACGGCGACGACAGAGAACGGAAATGAAAAGAAAGAAAAAAAAAGGTAAGTAAGACTCGTCAAGCCAGTTCAAGTCGAGTGAAACTGGAAAAAACAAACGAAACCGGAAACTGTCTCGACTTTAGCCGGCCTGTCAATTGGCAGTCTTACATAGTCAAAAAATATTTATTGTCTACCCGCATGGACACTTCATTTTATCACAGAAAGCTATCTGAAGTATCTCCAAGAGCCTCCCAGAGCATCTCCTCGTACTCTGCAGCACTTTCCATGTCTTCTTCGTCCAATGCCTCGTCTTCTCTCAGCTCTGCCTCCAGTGCCTCCTCATCTGTCTCGCTCGACATCCAATCCGCTTCCTCTTCACGCTCTCGGTCCGCACGTCTCGTCGCCTCCCGCATGTACGTCCTCGAAAAACAGTCCAGCGGATGCACTCCTAGGGCGGATGGCGGGCGGATGAACGGCATGTATAGGTCTCTGTGGGTAGACACCCCAGGCACGGCCGGATCTCCTTTTTCGCATCCGCCCTCATCTCTAAACTCGGCGGGGTGGTCACTGGAACGATTAGAATGACGGGTGGCTGCAGATTCATTTTCGGCGTCGCTCGACTCGGTATCATTACGGAAGCAGAGCTCGGCAAAGAACTCCTTGTGACTCTTGTACCGCACGCCTAGCGTTTCAATCGCATGTTTGATGGCGCTTACAGTGAGACGCTGCAAGCACCGTTAGCATACCAGACGTTCACTCGCCATCGACGAATCGTACCTGATCACTGGACCTCCATGCCAGACTGCCCTGCTTGAGCCGGATCTGTCCTTCTTTCCACGCGATCGCACGGTATATGACATCTGTCACAAAAAATACTACGGCAGCCTGGAGATGCCGGATCAGGGTAGCGTCTATTGCGAATGGTAGCTCTTCGTCAATCTCATCGGTGCTTGCATCGTCCGACGGTGACCCGCACTCGGATGCGGTAAACAAGCTACGTGTCAAGCATCAGAGACGAAAGAATGCCAAACGAACTATGAGGCGATACACACCCCATCAACCGCGCCAGTGTATTCAAATGTAACAAATCCATCCCCTGCACACGGAGATAAGCAGCATCGACACCGAGTTTACTGAACATCGACTTGAGCTTGGACCGCAACGTCAAACCATGTGTGGTTTGCTTCACTTTCGTGGGCTCTTCGTCGTCCGATTCAACATTCGGTGTAGGCGCAGACGACTTCGGTGTCGTGCATCGACTCTTGTCTTTGGCTTTGCGACCTGGCTTCAAACGTCCTAGGCCCACAATCTGCCCGATGTCGGCAGTCTCGACTTCGGTAGCGCTATAGGAGGCATCCTCCTTTCCATGCAATCTGGCTCGACGCCGTCGCATGTAGAGCCGTTTTTGGAGTCGGCGCCGTGACTTAGGAGAAAGAAGGTCGAGATTCAACGCAGCAGGATCCTCGCTCGCAGCTCGGACATGGCTCTGCACGAAATCAACCGTATCTTGTCGAGCGTCATGAATTACAGAAGCTTTGGTCAATGGAGGGCCACTCGAGACTAAGGGAGATCGGTCAGCGGCGGGTATGGTCTTGATGGGGATGGATGACATTGTCGTAGTAGTGCTACTTGGGACTGTGTTGTTCAATTATATCAGTTGACCAAGACGAGGGAACGTACAGCGATGAGATATGGCATTACCTCCAGAAATTGCCAACAGCACCGGGTCAATCATGGCATTAGAAGGATCGTCAGCAATCGTATCTGTCACGTTCATTATCGTCCGCATCTCTCGCTCGTGCTCGTGACTTGGAGGGGTCCCCTCTCGGATTTCCAAATGTGGGCTCGCAGCATCCTGATTTTCTTTGCAACTCCTTTCCATCCTCAACGATTCCTCGTGGTCTCTGAGAATAGAATCTAGGGCGCTTAAATGAGCGTCTCCGAGGCATGCTAAATGATCTTCACGTTTTCCTAAGCGGAGACGTTTTGCAGGAGGCTCATTTGGGCTCATGGTCTCGGCCCGGCGTGCAACGGAGGATCGATCTACCTGAGTGCCAGCCGCGTGTTGTGAATCAACGCACCCCTGCGGCTTTGCATCAGCATAAGAAGCCAATTTCCTTGCACCAAGCCGTCGATAAGGACGCCTAGCATTAGTACCGTCACCCTTGCGAGGTCTGCCGCGCGGACGTTTCTCCTTCTCCTTTCCTTTCTTCGCACGAAGGGAATTTCGATACCGCTCAAGCAAGGCGGAGTTGTCCCCTTGGATGATGCATGATGCGAGAGTCTCCTCTACTGCAACCCACGCATCCGAAACCTCGTGTGCAGGCTCCAGTTCCAGGTCAGAACCGGAGTCCTCCTCGTCTAAATCGAAGTCTGAAAGATATCCGTCTCCTTTCTCTGCTCTGTCTAGGCACTCGGCACCCTCTTCAAGAGCTGCGAGGTATAAGTCGACCTCCCACACGCTTCGCGTTGGAACAGCTGCAGCAATCAGGTCAGGACGCCAGCGCGAGTAGGCGGAGAGTGCACGGAAGAAAGCGTTTTTCTCGGCTGGCGTCCATGGCCTACACATGGCTGGTGGTTTTCCATCCGCACTGCGAGTACGCAAACGCGAGGATGACGTTCCCTCGTTTGCTATGTCATGTTCTGTCCCTCCAGCTTCGAATCCGAACCTTGTCCTCGTCTCGTCCGAGTGCTCCAAGTAGGGCCGAGTGGTTTCTGGTTGCATGATGCATAGTAGGAATACGAGGACGAGCGTGACACTGCATTGCGCGTGACAAAATCCTCTCGACAGGGGCTAATTAACGTACTTGAGCAGCTGAGGCATTTGCAGTGGAACGTTACGCGCGCTCATAGGTGTGGGTGCAGCGGTTCTGTAGTGTAGTGGTTATCACTCGGGATTTTGAATGCAATTTCCCGAAACCCAGGTTCGAACCCTGGCAGGACCTATTCTTTTATCATCGACAAGATATAAAACAACATTTTTGCTTCTTGTGGTCTACTGTAATGTTGGACAGCGAAACTCGACAGCGCACAAGTATGTCCTCACGACGACGCTGCAATCTACAAGTCATTCCTGAGCTGTGCGTCGTTCAGCGCTTCCTGGTCCCGGATCTCCATGCCCGTCACATTCCATGACTCCGTTTTGTCAGCGCCATCGTCCGACTGATACGGCGTCACATGGCCTCAGGATGATCAGGAAGCTCTCATGGTAATTCTGAACCGCACCCCGGGCCGTACGGCCAGTGCTCATTGGAGTTGGCTGTCACTTTGGCCCCGCCAGCCCTGCCCAGGGTGACCCAGGCTGTTTAGGGCTACGATGGCGTCTGTCCTACGGAAGGACTATACGTCTTACACCGCCTGATACTTCATCCTGATGCAACTTACGTGCACCAAAAGGTGAGTTGAGTGATTCAGCCACTAGTTCGCCACGTGGCAACACACCTATCAGCAGCAGCCATCGTACCGAGTTGGACCGCGTCTAGGGGATCATGCGTTTTTCCCCACATGTTTATCGCCACAGTGCACAGAGATGCATGGAATGCTATGCGGGCATCCCCACACCGCTCGGCATCATGGCCGTGTCAACGACTGGTGTCGGCAGATCCTTGGGAAATCTTAAGTGAGTTTCAATCTCAATCAGTACCTTAGTTCGGGAAACCAAGCTGGGAGACCTCGGAAGCCTCGCGGGTGACCCGCTGGCTCGGTGACGAGGGGACTGGATGTAGTGATGAAATGAGAGACGAGTACCTAACGTTGGTCGTTTTAGAAGGCATTCATAAGAGTGTAACGGTTACGGCCTGCCGGTTGCAACGAACCTTAATGGTGGCAGGTCTACGCACACCTGCTGTAATGCCGCACCTTCTGTTTCACCGTCGGAAACTTGAAAGAAGTCTCATGTTGCGAGACGGCTCACGTATTGAGATTGTGCACGTACAATGTTGTGGATGTGTATCAGCTGCAGTCCACCGCAAAGTCCGATAATTTGGGGCTATTTCATGCCTGCGGGGAAATCGGCTAAGCATATCATGAGAGGAAGCGAGAAACACCCCAGCCTAATAGTCCCAGCCTAACTACGTCGTCTTTGGCTTTTCAAGCCCTTTTTCGCCCATTTTGACTTGCAGAAGGGCAATCGAAGCCGGAGGAAGCTGTGAACGTTATCAAGTTGCAAAACGACCGAGAATGCAGGTGTCTTCTCTTCCATTTCCCTCCTGCTACTGACTTACAGAGACGACTCGTTGCTGTTGCACACAGACCTCGACCGTGTTGAGGTAGAACTTGTCGCAAGCTTGCTAGCAGCGACGGAACAGACTTCCGCTGCCAGGATCTACTTTAACAGGCTATCAACCGCTCCAAGCCCTGGCTACTTATCACACAACCACGCGGTCCAACACGGAACACGCAACGAGGGCAGTCTGTATTACAGAGATTCAACGTGGTCGCCACTCGGATCGGTTCTCTAGGCTCTCCGCGCCTAGGTTACTACTTTTCCGCCGGAACTCTGGGGAGATTAAAGAACTAGCACTCTGTGTGGCTGAGGGCGCCAACGTTCACAGGATCAAGGGTTCCGTTCCATTCACGATCGATCGGCTTTCGTCGGTTTGCGCGACTTCGAGCGACAGGGAGACGACTGACGGTAGAACGGCAATAAAGCGACTATGGACTTGGGCGTGCACGGAAATTTGGGTCTCAAGTATGACAACGACACGCGGATCGGGGGCGGCGACGGGGAGGTGTGGGCGTGTCACGATAAGACCCGCGCTTCAATCCATGCGGGTGAAGGGACCAGTGCAGCGGCGGGTGAGGTTAACGGGAAAAGGCACAATTTGGGTCTTCTGGAAGTAGTCAAGAACGAGTGGACAGGACGACGGAAAGGTGGTGAACGGACAGCACCCGATGAAGATCGCTCACAACATGAACAGCGAGCCTCGCCTCGTTCTCGCCGCGTGGGCGTCGTCTTTTCGCCTCAAAATTACAAACGTCCACACTCCCTTCTCGACTTGAAGGACGCAGCTCGTATCTGCGGCAATAGCAGCCAGAGCTCCAACAACGCCGGCAATAGTGGCCCCACTCCTATTGCTAATCCTCCACTCATTCCTCCTCGCTCTCCGCTTCGACCCATCTCCTTACGCTACCAAGAGCTTCAGCATCCCTCAAACACCACCCCACTTCCTACGCCGGCAAGTCAGCACGTAAATTTGGACATACCGCTTCATACAGACGCCCGTGGTCATCAAATGGACACCGTACAATCCCTACGCATCCTCAAAAGAGGTGCTTCGGAGACACAGCTTGGGTTCTCTCACTGCCATCCTCGATTCACTAGCCGCGGACCCAACGACCTTCCATGAGAAAGAGCTACCCTTACCACCAGACTACGACGACGACCTCTCCAAAACCACTCAGAGCGATAGCGACGAAGACGATTCAGACACAGACACAGAGCCGGAATCGCCCAGCGAAGCCCTCGCAGAGGAACTCGGCATACCTATCAGCCCCACGCCCCCCACCGACGTTGTCACCCTCAACTCTAGTCAACACGCTGTCATGACCAAACGCATGCACGCGCTCTTTGAGTTGCTCTCGTCAGAGCGCGCTTATGCATCTGATCTCGCTCTGATCCGTGATATCCACATTCCACTTGCACTAGGCAAGTACGCCCTTGTAATTCTAGCCCATATTTAGTGTCTCATGTTACACAGGTCAACCACCGCCATTCAGCCCAACTGGGTCTGGGAGCCCGCCGCCATTCCCGTCTGACTCAGGATCAGGCTCTTCATCACGAACAGTCTCAACTGCATCAGACTCTTCCACGTCATCATCACAGCTTGGTCCTCCCATGTCACGGGAAGACGTACGCCACATCTTTGGCAACATCGAGGATCTTGCGGTCTTTGCCGACCGCTTTGTTGGCCTCCTGGAAAAGGCGATTGGTGGCGTCATAGACAACGGAGGTAGTGACGATAGCGTGGGCGCATTGTTCCTGGAGATAGTACGTGACATTTTGTCTTTGCAATCACGCGTTCATAGTAACATCTTTACTTGCCATGCGCAGATCCCGTCTCTAGAGCCTCCTTACAAAACATACATCACCCGCCATCCGACTGCTTTGGCCCACTTGAACTCCCTTCCCTCATCTCCGGCCTTATCTGCCTATCTCTCCCAAACTCGTACCCTTGCCTCATCTCTGACACATGCATGGGATTTGCCTTCTCTGCTCATCAAACCCGTGCAGCGGCTCCTCAAGTACTCCCTTCTTTTGGGAGCCATTATTGACGCAACGCCTGACAATCATGGAGACCGTGCGGCCCTTGTTGAAGCCAAGCAAAAAATGGAAGACGTGGCACGAAGCGTCAATGAAGAACGTCGACGATGGGAGGTCGTTCGCGAAGTCCTTGGCGATACCGCTTTCTCAAATACCAATAAGAAGTCCAAGAAAGGTTCCAACGGTGTCAACGTGGGAATACCCATGGCCGGCACGGTCCATCTGGGTCGAATGAAAACCTTACGCCCGTCCAAAATGAGAGAGGTTACTGAGACTGGGATGGATAACGCCGAAGCAGCAGAAGTTGCCCGCTTAGAATCCGAGCTCCAGCGATATGCCACATTTTTTGACAGACTCGCAAGGGACGTCAGGGAATGGCGGGATGGCATGCAAGTGACATTGTTTGCTTTGCGCCAATGGGGCATTACGTTTGGTGCTGTTTTGGGTCTGACGCCTTCCCCCTCCGCTCTGAACCCAGACCTCATGCCCGATTCGCCTAGTGGTCAGGCAATTGACACGTCAGACCCTGAGGTGCGCTCGGAAGCATACGATGCTTTTACGACCTTGCTATCCTCCCTCCCGCCACTTTGCGATGTGTTCGACGAACGCCTAAGAGAGGCATTCATACCGACTCTGTGCGAACTGAAGGCCATGCTTGAACCCCCTAAAAAACTCCTGAGTGCCATGCACGCACTCGCTCCCTTACATACTGCCCTTCTTCACGCTCCATTCTCTCCGTCCAAGGGCCGGCGACCCGCACAAGCCCTGCTAACCGCTTCGCAGTCATACCTCGCGCTCCGCTCGGCGCTTGCTGCGGAACTTCCATTGCTCCTGTCCGCTATGAATCGTGCGACTGCGCTTGCAATACGTATCCTCGCTGATGAACAAGCCCACTTGTACGCTATGATTGCGGATCAATGGGCCGACCTGTGGGATGCTCTGCGCGTGGAGGGGGAGAGATGTGGTGGTTCCGAGGAAACATTACGCGTCTGGTGGGAACGGTGGAGTGAGGTTGAGGAGCGTCTGCCGAAGCTAAAGATCACGCGAAAGGAGAAATGGTGGGCCGAGCGGGAACGGGAGCTCAAGGAAGGTCGTGAATTCAGGGGCGACACTCGGGACAAATCTAGAGATGCCAATCGGGAGAGGCAAGCTAGAAGAGCCGGTGTGCCGGCTTCCGGGTCCAGTGCAACTGGGTTCGATCCATTGTCCGCCACCGCGCAGTCGCCTCCCCACTCCCAGGCACGACGTCAACACCACTCTCGTGTCTCTAATAATACCCCCACTACGGACAGGCGTCGCAGCGGAAGCAGTGCAGTTACCCCATCACCTCCCCAACTAATACAGCGGCGACCATCGGATGAATCTTTTCGCTCAGGGAAATCTGGGAAGTCATCTGGCTACGGTGGTAGATCAGGTAGAAATAGCAGAGTGGATGACGAACCACCCGTACCCCGGCTAAAACCTAACTTCGTAGCGAGTTATTCCAATGGTCCACAACACAGAAAGAGTGCACCAACTATTACTCCTTTGCGCACGTCCACGTCCTCGTCCTCACAAACCGTGATCGACATCGACGCTGGTTATCCACCCTCGCCACTTTCGCGCGATGTGTTTGATGATGACGAACAAGACAGGGGGCGGAGCCAACGCCGCTCAAGTTTCAAGAATAAGATTACAGACTCT